AAAAAAAAAAAAATGCTCTCATAGAAATATTTTATTGTAAATAAAATGCAAGTAATTATTTCTAAGAAATACATATTAAATGTCTTCGAACAGAAACACACATAAAATAAGATTCTATATTGATCAGCTGACAAAAATGCTGTGACCAGAGGTTCACAGGAACATAACTCTGGTTTTCTCCCAGGTGCAATGGTTCAGTATTTGCTTATTCAAGGATGTTCTTGACAACCTTACAGACATAACTACTGTGAATAACAAGAATGGACTGTATTCCAGATTACAGATATTATCCAAAAGGACCTTCAAGTTAAACCATATGGAAGTACCATATAGTCTTTACCATTTTTTCAGATTAAAACATCTTAATTATAATCCATTTATAAGAGATAATAATCAGAAGCAAATTCAGATGAAACATCAAATGACTACCATATTATGTGTTCATATTCTGTACATATGTGAATTTCTTTTCACCTGGAAATTGCTCCTCATTGATAACTCTGCTCAGGCTGGTCTCGAACTGATGAGCTCAAGCCATCCACCCTCCTCAGCCTCCCAGAGTACTAGGATTACAGGCATGAGCCACCAGACCTGGCCCACCAAATCAATTTTAAAACATTTTTATCACCCCTTACCATTTAGGACTCTCCTGTTTCTTCCCAGTCACCAGCCTCTACAGATTTGCCTATACTGAACACTTTCATGTAAATAAAATCATGGAATGTGTAGCCTTTGTGACTGGCCTCTTTCACTTAGAATGACATTTTCTTTCCTTTTTTTTGAGAAGAGTCTCCCTATGTTGCTTTCGGTAGAGTACTGTGGTGTCATAGCTCACAACAACCTCCAACTCTTGGGCTTAAGCAATTCTCTCACCTCAGCCTCCAAGTAGCTGGGACTGCAGGCGCCTGCCACAACACCCGGCTGTTTTTTGGTTGTAGTTGCCATTGTGGTTTGGCAGGCCCAAGGCTGGATTCGAACCCGCCAGCTCGTGTATGTGGCTGGGGCCCCGCTGAGCTACAGGCACTGAGCCTCCCTGCACTTTCTTTTTTTTCCAAGGGAAAGTGTGAATGCAGTTCCCCACTACCACAAATTATGCAGTCCAGTTTCCCGCATTTGGGGAAATTGCAGGGGCCAGCACATTTGGAGTGCAATGGATAAGCCTTGCCCTGGGAAAACCACCTTCGAGATCACGGTATCTCCCCTGCCTGGTACGTATTCTCACTGCGCCTTTTTTTCTTTTTTCTTTTTTTTTTGAGACAGAGCCTCAAGCTGTCCCCCTGCGTAGAGTGCCGTGGCATTACAGCTC